TAAATTCATTACTTTATTTTGAAGAAAAGTGCTGCTGACTACTTCGGAAAGCTTATGGTGAACATGCTCCATCTCAAGATACTTGTGGACACTGGTTTAAACACTTTAAAAGTGATGATTTCGATGTGAAAGACAACGTCCAGGTCAACCGAAAAAGTTTGAAGACCAACAATTACAAGCACTATTGGGTGAAGATGCATGTCAAACTCAAAAATGACTTACAGAAAGATTAAACATTGCTCAGCAAACAATTTCTGATCGTTTATAAGCAATGGGAAAGATTTTAAAGGAAGGAAAATGGGTGCCACTTCAACTGAACGAAAGACAAATGGAAAACCGAAAAGTCATCAGTAAAATGTTGCTTCAGCGACACGAAAGGAAGTCTTTTTTGCATCGATTTGTGACTGATGATGAAAAGTGGATTTATTTTGAGAATCCCAAATGCACAAAATCATGGGTTGATCCAGGTCAACCATCAACATGCAAGGCCAAATCACTTCAAAAAGAAGACAATGCTCTGCGTTTGGTGGGATCAGGAAGGTGTGGTGTGTTATGAGCTTCTAAAACCAGGTGAAACTGTTAATACTTATCGGATCGATGGCACACACCCTTTCTGAGCAGCACTTCAAAACGTACGAAGAAGTGGAAAATTGGGTCTCTGAATGGTTTGCCTCAAAACAAGAAAAGTTCTATTGGGATGGTATCCACAAATTACCTGAAAGATGGGAAAATGTGTAGCTAGCAACAGACATGACTTTGAATAAAGTACTTTTGATGTTTCTCTTGAAATTATCGTGTTTTCGTTGATTAAAAATCCGCATTATTAACCGGTACACCTAGTATATATATGTACTCACACAGCAAGAGCACACGAATTCCTCCATCATTTTCCTGTTACTAGAGGAAAAAGAAAGTATTCTGACTAACACGTTCTGATGGTGAATGAACAGCAATGAGACTCCAAAGGGAGTAGAGAAATAAATAACATCTTTCCTGCTCCTCAGCAGACAGAAACCATTCTTTCTTAAGACTGTGCCAATGGCCATATCACTGTTGAGATGTATCGTTGCACCCTTGCAAGAAGGAATCCGAGATACCCTGGATGATTGTCTTTCTATTTTTGTAATTATTACTCAGGGTAATTAATTTGACTATCTGCTTTGGAAATAAAAATGGGTAATTATATACATTTTACTTTTTTGTTTTGAAGGTGCTCTCATATATTACCTTCTTTAATGCTCATAATAATAACCAGAGGTAGATAGCTACCACCATTTCACAGATAAGGTGATGGAGAGAATAAGAGATTGTTAAAAAGCTGGGCAGTCATGGTTAGGATTTTCACATTTCCTGGTTCCATCTTTATCAGTTTTTTAGCAAATGTTACTATTAGAAAAAATACTTAAATGGGAACGGGGGGGTGGGGGGTGGGAGGGGGAAGGATGAATGTTCTATAAAGGTGGGAAACAGAAATGGCCTTTCTAAAGTGAAAGTACATCAGTGATTGTAGTCTGAAAGAGATGAGCAGTTTGATATCTCCCAGTATTTTTGTTTGTTAATCCTCACCCAAGGATATTTTCCCATTGATTTCTAGAGAGAGTAGAAGGGAGGGGAAGAGACACACAGAGAGAAACATCAATGTGAGAGAGACACATTGATTGGTTATCTCCCTCAGGCCAGGCGACCCAACCAGGGCTGGGGATCCAGCCTGCAACCCAGTACATACCCTTAACCAAAATAAAACCCAGGACCCTTCAGTCCCTGGGCAGTCATTCCATCCACTGAGCCAAATGTCTAGGGCAGTGGTTCTCAACCTTCCTAATAATGCCATGACCTTTTAATACGTTCCTCATGTTGTGGTGACTCCCAATTTCATTGTTACAAATTGAACATAATTAAAGCATAGTGATTAATCACAAAAATAATATGTAATTATATATGTGTTTTACGATGGTCTTAGGCGACCCCTGTGAGTCGTTTGACCCCCAAAGGGTCAAACCGCTGGTCTAGGGCCAGTTGACAGTATTTTTAATGAAAAACCACTAGGGGGCTCTGCATAGGCATGCTAACGTGAAAATGAGGCTGGTATTTCAGATCAACTTAGCAAAATAGAAATTTTGAATTTTTCTAAATTTCCCCAATTTTGGGGGGGCTGATAAAATGTACTGCTTACCTTCAGTTTATAGACAATCAGGCTAACTATAACTGCCTTCATTACTGCTCTACAATCTATTACAGACTCAATCACACATTTCCCTTCCTCAGAAAAGGCCCTCACTTTACATCAAGATTAATATCTTTTTCCTGCCACATGGCTTTAGTACTGACCACCTACCACCAGTATTTTTCCCCCTCTAAATAGACTTAATTTTTTAAGAGCAGATTTAGGCTCAAAATTGAGCACAAAGTATAGTTTCCATATACCTCCTGACCCCATCTTTCTCTGTTTTGAGAACATCCCTTTGCCAACTCTGAGATACTGTACTAGAACTGATGATATCTTGATTCAATCTATGTTAGCTTTTTATAAACAACTGGCCAAACACACTCATCCCTTAATGTTTCTACTCAATCATGCTAGCAGGCTTTTACCTGCTAGATTTCATTAGTGATTACTAGTACATTTAAAACATGCAGGCCTGACTAGTGTGAAGGAAATCAGTTACCAGATCTTCCAACTTTCACATGTACTTTCAGTCAAGAAGCTTAATTAATCATTTAGTGAATCTTAGTTAAGACTGGTATACTTCTCAGAAATTGAGAAAGTAGGTTTAATGAGTGGATAACATTCTGCTAAACAGATGTTTTTAAATTTTGTTTTCAATAGAACTAAAGGAAGACCCAACCAAACTGTCAACTGATAGATCATTAATTTTTTTTGTTGTTGATCACCATGTGATTTCTGGTGTGGAAAGGAGTTTTTTAAAAAGTTAAGAGACTGCTATAACAAAACCACTTTCATGTGCATCTTTATATGAACAAGGTATCTCAGCTTACATCTCTGAAAAACCTGGATATTAGAATAAAATTCTGTGGATGATGCAGAATAAAAATAAAATTATGAACTTGAGAAAAAGCAAAAGAAAAATTTCCATCTTTTAGTTTATTCATGTATTTTAAAATAAATGTTGTTAGGTATCAAATTATCATTAAATTTAGATTTCTTTCAATACTATTAAAAGAGTAATGTAACATTTTAAAATGCGTGCTTTCATGATACTCTGCATGTTACATCCTTGGCTACTATTTATGTTTAAGATTAAAATTTTATGTTTTTAACAAAAAAAATTGCAATGGGGTATGAGTTTTGTCTACAATTCTTTTTAGAAGCATGCAGGCATACCATTCCTTCCAGGTTGTGAAAGCAAATTATCCAAATATGTATGTTTTAGGTAAAGAAATGATAACTTAAAACAGATTCTATACAAGTACTTTGTTCTAACATCTTAGAATGTGATATTCGAAGACATTATATAAAATAGTCTTTGCATGGGCTTTAAAGGCTTTCTAATTATGTTCTGTAAAAAAGGCAGGAGTACCTGTCTTTTTTTAAATATATTTTTATTGATTTCAGAGAGGACAGGGAAGGGAGACAGAGATAGACACATCAATGATGAGAGAGAATCATTGATTGGCTGCCTCCTGCACGCCCCCTACTGGGAATCAAGCCCGAAACTGGGGCATGTGCCCTTGACCGGAATCGAACCCGGGCCCACGCGCTAGTCTGCAGGCCCACGCGCTATCCACTCAGCCAAACCACCTAGGGCAGGAGTAGCTGTCTTTCCAAATGCCTTTTAACCAGTGCTCTAAAGGACTTACATTCTAATATTTTTCAACAGCAGAAATAGTCACACTTCTAAAACCAGAATCAAACCTGAGTTGGGTCGACGCTCTACCACCTAATGCCTGAGCATAGGTTCCCACCCCTGGCTGCACCTCTGGGCGCACTGAAGGTGGGAGAGCCCTGCACTGTCTTCAAAGAGTTCCTCCGTTGATTTAAGGACGTGACGCTACTTTTCATTTGTCTTTTTTTTTAATCTCACAATGCCCACTTCACAGAGCTGTACAGCTACACAAGTTCAGGAAGTGTTGGTTGTACTGCCACTGGATTCAACCTAGTACTGAATAGGCACGTAAGCAGACCAATGGATCCTACTATTACGTTTTTTGGCCTACATCACCCTAGCACCATCGTTCTCATGGGGGAGGGGAGACTAGTGGTCAGCTGGCAACGTTGGGGACATTTTGGGCTCGCACGCTACTAACCTTCCTGCAATGAACACGGCGGCCTCACCTCAGAAAAACTCGGCGCCAGAGCGAGACTGTCTGCTGAGAGGCCCTGGGTTTCCTAGGAGAAGCGAGTCGAAAGGGCCCTCGCTTTCTAACTCCAGGGTCCGGCGGGCATCCAGCCCCTCGCTCACTCCCCTGACTGGCGTTTACGGCTACACCGTACCGCGCCACGCCGCCTCGGGCGCCAGCAGCGGGCCTGGCTTCGGTGCAGCTTCCCCCACGACAGAAGGCGGGCGACCCGGGGCAACTGTCGCCCGCCTCCGGCGAAGACTAAGCTGCCGGGGGCTTTCCACCGCACTGGCCCCACATGTGAGGGTGTGAGTGGCGGCGGCCGCTTCCCCGCCCCCAGAGCAAGGCCCCATACCACTTCACGCGCAGCAGAGCGAGAGCCCTGCCCAGTAAGAGAAGAAGCTGCCCTCTGAGACGGGGATGCAGAAGAGAGAGGTACCAGCACTGGGATCAAGGGCGGGGCCTGGGGAGCAGCCGCACGGTGTGGGTGGGGCAGTGGGCGGGGCCGTTGAAAGGGCGGGTCCCTATGAGGGAGGAGCCAGTCGAGGAAGGGGTGTGGCTTGGTGAGGCAAATGGGGAAGTTTTGCTGGAGTGGTTAGCTCTTGAAAGAAGAGAAGGCATCTTTTGTGGCTGGGTAGGAACTGCTGTTGGAAGGGGTGGAGGTAGATGAGGAAGAAGGAACGATCCAGGAAGAAGTGGGGGTGCCTGAGGGAAGGGAGGAACTATTAAGGGAAAGGGCAGAGCCTTTCCTTTAGGAGAAACAGGTTGGGTCTGTGTTTGATGACTTGTTTTTCAGGTGGACTGTAAGCTGTATGAGAGCTGGGCATTGCTTCACGCTCTATCCCCAGTCCTAGGCATCTGATAAGCACTGAGTGAGTGAATGAATGTGAATGGAAAAAGTGGAAGAGTTGTAGACTGTGATTGGAATAAAAATGGCCTGATCCTAGGACAGATCGTTGAAGGAACTGAACTCCTATGAACAATCAAAGCTGCTGTGCTCTATGGGCACATAATAAGCATAAGGCACACGTAATTAACATAGGGAGGTAAGACTTATACTCTTAAAAGTGTAAACAATTTACTCAAATTGGGTGGCGCATATGCTTAACTTTGAGGCAAAATTTCAACTCCTTACAGAATTGTGTTTCAAAATTATAAATCAGATTGAAGTCCCAGTGACAGTTTCTTTCAGAAACTGTATTACAGTGATCAGCATGCCCAGGCCAATCTTCAAGACCACTTCACATGGGTGAAGCTTTGCTCTGTATTAAGAAACTTAACTAGCCCTGGCTGGTTTTTCTCAGTAGTTAGAACGTCAGCTGTAGACTGAAAGGTCCCAGCTTTGATTCCAGGCAAGGGTATGTACCTTGATTGCAGGCTCAATCCCCAGATCCCTTGCCCTGGTTGGGGCTCGTGTGGGAGGCAACCAATTGATATTTCTCTCTTTGTTTCTCTCTCCTTTCTACTCTCTCTCTCTCTCAAAAAAAAAAAAAATCAATGGAAAAATGTCCTCAGGGGAGGATTAAAAAAGAAAGAAAGAAAAGAAAGGAAGGAAGAAAAAGAAACAACTCCCACCATGGCTGTTTCTATTTATTGATTTCTTCAACGCATAATGATAAGGTCCACAGGAACATCCATTTAGAAATCCAAGTGAGGCTGCCAGAAACCCATCTTTCCCTGGCTGAAATTCTGACATGGACTCAAGATTCCTTTAAACCTGAAACTTCTAGAAAGATGGGGGTAGGTGTGGAGACATGGTGTAGAACCAGGGAAGTGGTAAGGAGTTTTGAGGGATTACAGCCTGCTTTTGACTGAAAAACCATGGGCCTTTCACTTCTGACCCATCAACATTACCCCCACTGTTAATTGATTGCCTGACTATGTAGACAGGCAATGGCAAATATGTGGCAAATGTGCAACCAACATCCTTATTTGTTCCCTGACAGACTTCATTAATCCCAGACCTCTTTCCCATAGTGGCCAAGTCTTATGATCCTTCTCAACACAACACCCTAGGTAGCCACTACTTGTTTGGAACTGATAATTTGGAACATATTCTTCATACCTAATATAGATAATAAATGTAAAAAAAATTAATGGACATCAATGTAAATGTAAATTTCCTTAATTCTTGGTAAGATTCCTTTTTGTTTTCAGTGGTGTTGCCTAAATAGATGGATCAGGAATCCTGTAGCATGTCGAAATATAGGCCAGATAATTGTGTTTGAGGTTGGATTGGATAATTAGTAAATACCCAATACCACAGATATCCATAGGACATTGTCCTTTATCCTCTCCTCAACATTTATATCAGTGATTTAGATGAAGTTACAGAAGGTATGTCTATTGAATTAATGAAGTTTTAAAGTAGGAGTTGGAAGAAATGATTCAGAATGATCTAAGCAGGTTGGGGTGATGATCCAAAAACCAAGAAAAAAATTTCTTAGGAGAATCTGATCAATTTAGATGTCTACATCTAGCAAATTAGAAGAAAAAAGAAAAAAATATTTAAAGGAAATCAACAGCATGGGCATGAAGTTAAGAAGACAGGGATTATTAACAATTCATATTAGAAAATCTAGAAGTTGTAGTTGACCTTAAACTCAGTGTTATTCAGGACTGAGATATAGGCCCTGGCTGGGTAGCCCAGTTGGTTAGAGCATTGTGCTGATATGCCAAGGTTGCGGGTTCCATCCCAGGTCACGGCACATACAAGAATCAACCAATGGCCTGTCCTGGTGGGGCTCAGTAGTTGAGAGTCAACCTGTGAATAAGAGGTCACCGTTCGATTCCTCATCAGGGCACATGCCTGGGCTGCAGGCTCCATACCCCATTGGAGGCAGCCAAACAATGATTCTCTTTCATCATTCATATTTCTCTCTCTCCTTTTCGCTTCCTCTCTGAAATCAATTTTTTTTTTAAATATATTTTATTGATTTTTTACAGAGAGGAAGGGAGAGAGATAGATAGTTAGAAACATCGATGAGAGAGAAACATCGATCAGCTGCCTCCTGCACGTCCCCCACTGGGGATGTGCCCGCAACCCAGGTACATGCCCTTGACCGGAATCGACCCCGGGACCCTTCGGTCCGCAGGCCGACGCTCTATCCCCTGAGCCAAACCAGTTTCGGCCAATTTTTTTAACAAAGAGATTCAATCAATCCAATGAATGCATAAATAATTGGAACAACAAATCTCTATCTCTTCCTCTCACTTTCAAAAAAAAAAAAAGATTGGGATATAGCATTTAAAACATATAGCAATCTTTATTGAATTAATAGGTGTAGATCAAAGGGATCCAGGTTTCAAAACAGATACTTCTAGGCAAACCGAATTTAAAGTACTGTCCTAATTTCCAGATACTACATTTTAAAGACATTGGTAAGTGACTGTGCATTCTTAAGATGAGGGAATTTGAGATTCTTGTCTGAAGAAATGAGAACTATCTTCAGATATTTTCAGCATTGTCATGTGTTGCTTTTGGGAGGAATGCCAGGAACTGAGAAGCAAAATCTTCAGGCTTGCAGATGTCTTGATTTGAGAACATTCCAATTAAAAAAAAAAATTATCTTTATTTTTGAAAGTATTACAGATATCCCCTTTGTTTCTTTGTTTGTTTTTTCCTATTGACCGCCGCCACCCTGACCCTGCCCCTCCCAGGCCTTTACCACTTCATTTTCTGGGTCCATGGGCTATGCATATCTATAATAATAAAAATGTAATATGCTAATTAGACCAGACATCCGTCCAGATGTCCTTCCTTTTGGACAAAGCCGCAGCAGGTGAGGGGGGTGGGGGCGGAGCACAGCAGAGGCAGCAGAGGCCCCTGGCTCCTGCGGCAGTGGGCAGGGGCCAGGGCCAAGGCCCTTGCACACATTTTGTGCATCAGGCCTCTAGTATACATATAAGTTTCCCCGGTAATTACTCCCACCCCCCTATTCCTCCACCCCTGCCTTCCCTCGGAAATTCATCAGTTTGTTCCATGCTTCTATGTCTCTGGATCTATTTTGTTCATCTGTTTATTTTGGAGAACATTCCAATTTTAAAGTTGGCTCTGGAATGGAAAAAGTAGCTTATAAAATAATGAGCTCAAATTTATTAGAATTATTTAAGCATATCTAAGAACAGTGCCTAACCCCAGGTCAAGAAGATTGTGTTTGTTTGTTTGTTTGTTTGTTTGTTTGTTTGTTTTTTGAAACTTTGCACTTTTTAATGTAGGAAAATCATTCATGTTAACAAACAAAATAATGAGGGCCAACCATAAAAGCTATATTTGTGGCACTGGGGCTGTGTGTATATTTGATTTTTAGTTACATAGTTTTATGATTTTTATTTAGGCCTATGATCCATTTTGAATTAATTTTTTTTCTTTTTTTATGGATGGCCAGAGGTTGCCACACTATAGTTGGAAAGATTATCCTGTATGCATTTCACTATTTTGGCATTTTGTCAAAAATCAATTGGCCATGTTTGTGTGGGTATATTTCTGGACTTTCTAGTCTGACCCATTGATCTATGTGTCTTTCCATTCACCAATATCATACTGAGTCCCATTGCCTTATTTTGATTTTTTTAATTGGGTAGTGTGATTCTTCCACTTTATAGTTTGTTTTCATAATTGTTATAACTATCATAGTTCCTTTGCATTTCCTTTAAAATTTAAAGCCAGCTTGTCAATATCAATAATAAATCCTGTATTAGATTCATATCTTAATATTCAGTCACCTTTTTAAAGATTGTCTATTCTTAGGCCTATATATTTTTATATATATTTTAAAATCCAAAAAATTGAAAAAAGTTTTAAGAAAAGGATTATCGTGTTATAGGCACAGAGTCTTATCTTCCCAAGATCTAGGACTTCCCATTCCCAGGGGTCCTGGACTCTATTCATGGACCATAAATGTACACATTTTAGGTGGTGACATTCTTTATACATAAGAACCATCTGTTTTATATGTCATATCAGAAAATACCTACCAGTGTAGTACCAAGACATTATTACTGGTCACCAAAATCTGGCTTCCTTTTCCTTCTGGAGATTTAGGAGGAAGTATAATCCCCACTTTTCCTAGAAGTTAGGCAGTACCCTCTGACTTGTTCCAGCTAATGACATGAGAACTGAAGTCATGTTACTTCCAGGCAGAAGTATCTGAGTCAGTGTGTGATTCCCCATGTTTGCTGTCATAGTTGGCTATGGTTTTCCATTATGGTGTCTCCATTAGTTCAATTCCAGAGTGAGGATAATGTGGAGCAGAGTCTACAGCATCAGACAATGGGCATGTCACACGTGTTAGAAATAAAGTTTTATTGTTTTTTATCACTGAGGGGGGAAATTAGGATTGCTTGTTATTAACAGCATAACCTTGCCCATCTAGACTAATAAACTAGGTAGCTCTAGCTAACAGACAGTGACCATGCCAAACTGACCTGTACCCTGGTAAGGCAACCTTTTCCAAAAAGAACCTGGCAGGGCCCTAGGCAGTTTGGCTTAGTGGATAGAACATCAGCCTGTGGACTGGAAGGTCCCAGGTTCGATTCCGGACAAGGAAACATACCTGGGTTGTGGGCTCTATCCCCAGTGTGGGGTATGAAGGAGGCAGCAAATCAATGATTCTCTCTCATCATTGATGTTTCTATCTCTCTATCCCTCTTCCTTCCTCTCTGAAATCAATAAAAATATATTAAAATAATGAAAGAACCTGGCAGAGTGAGCCTTATCTGGGACAAAGTTAAAACAAAATCCCCAAATTCAGAGTTTTATGGATATTTTAAATATCAGCTTTTAACTTCATTTTTATTAAGATGAATTGGGCACATTATCACCTTCTCCATCAAAGAAATACAGAGAATACAAAGTCCCTTTCTAAACTAATATCACATCCTTCTCTCTCTTCTTGTGTCTTCTGCTATCCTTAGTTTCTCTTCAGCTACTAGCCTTTGGAAATTTCTTTATGTTCTTGGTCAGGTGCCCTCTACTTCACATAGTTTTTTCTCTACTTACTTGTAAATAGTAGATATGGTCATAGTTCTCAGTTTACATTGATTTCAATCCCTTGTACTCCATTTTAACTTAATATATATAATTAATTTCAGAGAGGAAGCCAGAGGGGGAGAGAGATAGAAACATCAATGATGAGAGGGGATCACGGATCACATGGGCTGCCTCCTGCATGCCCCTCACTGGGAATGGAACTCACAACCCTGCCCTCCTGGTTCATAGGTTGACACTCAACCACTGAGTACGCCAGCTGTGCTTAATTTTTTTTATATTATTATGGGAAGGTTCACACATGTAAAAGTAGAAAGAAGTAGCCCTGGCTGGATAGCTCAGTTAGAACATTGTCCTGATATGCCAAGGTTGTGGTTTCAATCCCCTGGTAAGTGTAACCAATGTATGCCTAAATAAGTGGAATAACAAAAATCAGTCTTTTTCTCTCTCTCTCTCTCCCTCTCTCTAAAATTAATCAATAAAAAATTGTTTAAAGTTAAAAAAAAATAAGTAGAGAGAATGCAGTTAACTTATATGTCCTCATACCCATCTATAACAAACAGAGCTTATGACTAAATAAACATAATTTACTTTATCATAATCTCTCTAACCACAACCAGCACATGCCCCACACCTCCCACACCCCTTGCATGATTATTGTGAAGCAAATCAAAATGGCTTATCTTTAATTGATAAAATAAAATACACTATGTTACAGTTTTTTTGCTGATCATTTACTTTCCATTTCTGTCTTTAAATGCTACTAGAGCCCTGGTGGGGTAGCTAAGTTGATTGGAGCATCATATACAACAAAAAGTTGCTGGTTTGATTTCCTATCAGGGCACATAACTAGGTTGGTGTTTCGATCCTCAGTCAGGTGCATATGGGAGTCCATCGATTGATGTTTCTCTCACATCTATATTTCTCTCTCCCCCTTTCTCTCTCAAATCAATAAAATCATAACCTTTGGTGAGGATTTTTTTTTAAAAAAGCTACTGGAAGAGATATTTTCTAGATCATAGTGAATTTCCATCTCTGTTTCTTAGATTCTCATTCATCTTTATTTCATTTTCTAATATCTTAAGTTCCTTGATCAGTTTTTCTTCATGTTTATTCATGTTTATCCAAGCATGTACTTTGGGAGCTTGGACCTCAGTCAACATTTTCTTCTTTGTATAATTTGGTTTGAGTCACTCCAATAGTGTATGTCATGGAATTTAATACCTTCTGGCCTACATCTGTGTGCCTTCCTGCTTTGTACTCCAAATCCAATTTTTAGTTGCATCTGCAAATGCATTTTCCCATGGTAGCATTTTACAATATGATCTTTGTGTTTTCTTAATGTGATTTTCTTGGAAAAAAATTAATAACTGGACTTTGATGTTTGCTTTATACCAGTGATTCTCAAACAGAATCAGATTGTTAAGCCCAATGGAAGTCAAGAAGTGGAATAGTATGAACCTTTGATTTACTTCAAATATGTCAAGTAGGCATAATTTTATTATAAAAAATATGAGTATTATATCAGTGCAGATTTCTGTCTTCCAACATAAAAGTAAAACTGCATATAATTAATTGTAAGAAGTACATTTCTATTTGTCATCATTACAAGTGCTAGAAGACAAGAATGGGCAGTGAAACTTCAAGGCACACTTATAAACAGAAAACTTAAAATTAAGACTATCCTTTCCACCAACTGGATTTTTTCTGCTTAGGAAAAGACCACCAATATTGTTTTAGTTGTGGACCATCTTGATCCAGTTTGCTTGAAGATACCAGGGTTCTGGAGGAGTGATCCAGTATGTAGGAATCTGACCATTTCACTAAGAATACTATGTTTACTAACAGAGATGATTCTTAGTTTTTAGTCATAAGGAGGCAATAAAGTTCTCATGATCCCCCACTAAATGAGTAAAGTGCTTATACAAATGTACTCTTTATAACAAATATATAAAGTGCTTATAGCAAAGATTTGCACATAGTAATAGCTATATTATAGTAAGTTTTATTATTAAGTTGTTATTGTTACCTGGCTTTCTTTTGACACTTTGTAGTCTGATGTGACTGGAACCTTTTCTGGTGGCCTCACTGGGTCCAGTTCTACTGACTCCAATACACGGGCTTATCCAATATTGCCTCCTTGGCCTCTGCTGTTCCTCTCTCTAGATCAGTGGTTCTCAACCTTCCTAATGCCGCGACCCTTTAATACAGTTCCTCATGTTGTGGTGACCCCCAACCATAAAATTATTTTTGTTGCTACTTCATAACTGTAATTTTGCTACTGTTGTGAATTGTAATGTAAATATCTGATATGCAGGATGTATTTTCATTGTTCACGACCCACAGGTTGAGAACCACTGAGGCAGAGGATCTAAAGACATTTTTCCAAAGAAGACATACAGAGGGCCTTATAGGTACATGAAAAGATACATCACCAATTATCAGGGAAATGCAAGTCAAAACCACAAGATACCACCTCACACCTATTGGAATGGTTATTAATGCATAACCCATGGACACAGACAATAGGGGGGTGAAGGCTTGGGGTGGGGGTAGGGGTGGGCTGAGAGAGGTCATTGAGGGAAAAATGGGACATATGTAATATGAGTTTATTTATTTAATCATCTATTGAAGGACATTTTGGTTGTCTTCATGTCTTGGCCCCTGTGAATAATGCTGCAATGAACATAGGGATCCATGTATCTTTGTAAATAAATGTTAATTTTTTGGGGGTAGATATGCAGATGAGGGGTTGCTGAGTCATATGATAACACTATTATTAATTTTTTAAGGAACTCCATACTGGCTGTACCAGTTTACATTCCTACCAGCAATGAATGAGGGTTCCTCTTTTTTTTAAAAATATATTTTATTGAGGTCAGCCTATAGACTGAAGGGTCCCGAGTTCAATTCCAGTCAAGGGCACATGCCTGGGTTGTGGGCTCGATCCCCAGTAGGGGGCATGCAGGAGTCAGCCAATCAATGATTTTCTCATTATTGATGCTTCTATCTTTCTCTCCCTCTCCCTTCCTCTGAAAAATCATATATGTATATATAAACATCAATGATGAGAGAGAACCATTGATTGCTGCCTCCTGCAGGCCCCCTACTGGGGATTGAGCCGCAACCTGGGCATATGCCCTGACTAGGAATCGAACCTTGGACCTCTTGGTTCATAGGTTAATGCTCAACCATTGAGCAACACTGGCCAGGCATCATAGACTTTCTTTTTTTAAAAATATATATTTTTGTTGATTTCAGAAAGGAAGTGAGAGGGAGAGATAGAAAGAATCATTGAGAGAGAATCATTGATTGGCTGCCTCCTGCATGCACCCTACTGGGGATCAAGCCCACAACTCGGGCATGTGCCCTTGACCAGAATTGAACCCAGGACCTTTCAGTCTGAAGGCCGACACTAACATAGACTTTCTTAATCCCATCCAAGGATGGGAAGGCTTCCTATCACAGAGCCTTGCTCTGGAGGGCAAAGCTAGGACCAGGCAGCGAACCAGGAAAAGCAGTGCTGGTTCAATATAAGACAGAGCTTTTGTACAGAGCAGTAGTTCTCCAATTTTGCTGGATTTTAGAATCATCTCAGGTGATTTAAGAAATCCTGCCTGGCCGGACGTGGCTCAGTGGTTGCGCATTGATCTAGGAATCAGGAGGTCACGGTTCAGTTCCTGATCAGGGCACATGCCTGGGGTTGCTGGCTCCATCCCTGGTAGAGGGTATGCAGAGGGCATCTGATCGACGATTCTCTCCTATCATTGATGTTTCTATCTCTCCCTTCCTCTCTGAAATCAATAAAAATATATTTTAAAAATAACTCACATTAAAAAAAACCCTGATGGCCAAGTTGTGCCCAGTCCAATTATAATCAGAATCTCTGTGGTGGGGTCTGGGGATTTTATTTTACATAAAGCTCCCCAGCTGATTCCAAGATGCAGCCAAGTTTGAGAACCAGTAAATGACTTTGCCACTTGAGAAGACTCTCTAAATAATGAACGCCTTGTCAGTGGAGATACTTTAAGCAAAAATACACATTCTTCTTATTGATTCAAGCCTTCTAGCACAACTTAATCTCTCCTAAACAATATCTGTTTCTTTGCTATAATAGCCTCAAGTTTTAAGTTTATTTTATTATTTAGTAACTGGCTTTCCTTTTGATTCTCTGCTTTTTTCCTTTTGAACTGTACACTTGATAAGTCTAAGGGGTTCTCTGGTACAAATGTATTTGTAATTTAGAAGAGAAAAAGGTCAGAATGTATTTATAGGAGCTTCTTTGGCCTGCACAGTGACTGAAGTGGAATTTCACAATTTGAGGATCCGGCTGATTTACACAACCTATCAGGTCCTCAGTCATGCTGTTTGTAAATAAAATAGCACTTCTAGTTTTTAGTCACTTGTAATATAAGTGTTTTTCTTTCAGATCTCATTCATTTCCTCTGATGTCATACTGGAAAGATTAGGATATCCAAAGATGTTTGACCTTTCATCGGTAAATGGAATTTTATTACCATCTAAACGCCACTCTAAGCCTAAGTAAATAAGCTGAAACGGTAATTGAACAGATATGTTACAAGAAGTTATTTGTCTCTACCTCAACAGAAAATGAAAACAATGTGGGTTTCTGACAGGGATCATGTTGGGGTGAGAGAAAGCAAGGTGTGTGGTCCCCAGTGGACTCTATTTCATTACAAGCAAGGACTTCCTCAAGAAGGCACTGGCTGTTCATTAGCACTCAGCTGGATCATTGGTGGCCACTGCTTAGGCATTAGAGTTCATCGATGCAGCTTGTGCACGCCCCAGGAGGAACATCTGTCTGTGAGAAAGTATTGTAATCATGCCATTTTCATATGAGCAAACGGGCCCAGAAAAGTAACTCATCTAAGCCTTACACAGCTAGTAAATAAGATTGGAACCCTGGCTGTTTGCCACTCAAGTCTGTGCTGATAATTAGGATATAAATTTTCTAACCCTTTGACTGGATTATAAATGCCAAGTCCCATTTTTCAACTTGGGAAAAGCATTAATTAAGGATAGATAGCATCATCATCGTCATCACTTCCACCACCATCACACTGTCACCATCATCTACTATATTAGTTTCCTAGGGCTGCCACTCCAGAGGGCCACAGACTAGGTGGCATAAACAACAGAGCCTGCCCATTCTAGAGGCTCGATGTCCAAAATCAAGGTGTTGGCAGGGCTGATTCCTTCTGAAGACTGTGAGGAAGGATCTGATCCAAGCCACTCTCCTTAACTAGTAGATGGCCATTTTCTCCCTGTGTCTCTTCATATTATCTTCCCTCTGTGCACGTCTGTGTCCAAATTTCCCCTTTTAATAAAAACACCAGTCGTCTACGGTGGATGAGGGTGACCTTATTGACCAGCTTAGATCCCCAAGCTGATATCCAGAGTTGTTGGGAAGAGAAAGAGGAGAAGGCCTGGGTGCATAAGTCACACACATCCACTACAGTGCTCTTGTTATTCGCACAATGTCATCTGGACATTTTTGGAGTGCAGGGTAGTGAGGCTACATTGCTTACTACAGTCTGTACTCCATCATGTGGGATAGAGCCTTGTTAACAAACATCTTCCTCTCCTCTTTTCTTCACTCTCAACTTTGGTCTTTAAATCCATTAGTCTCTAATTAAACTTATACCTATCTTCTATATTGTCAATAGTTGGCAATGGATGGTTTTGTAAAATTTCTTCTGAGTCTATTCCTGAATGTGTTGAAAATGTTTCACCTGAGTTATACTTTAGAAAGAAAATTAAAACTGAGTTCAATCCACATTTCAAACTACAGGAAGAAGATGTTAAAAACTTTAAGCAACCATCAGAGTAATCACAGTAATGGATCTCTGTCAGAAAAATGAGACAGAGTTAGAAAATGGTGAAAATAATCAAATTCCAAGCACAGAAGAACCTGAATTAAACTGTACTTATTCAGATGAAAGAAAGGAAAAGAACCATGTTTGTTGTCTCCTCAATATCAGTGACATTACGCTTGAACAAGATGAAAAAGCCAACAAGTTTGTTATCGGAACTGGATGGGAAGAAGCAGTAAGTATCTTCTTGAGTTAGGTCTCTTGCACATCAGTGTTTTTTGGTTGTTGTTTTAGAAAGTGTTTTTTTTATTTTTATTGATTTGAGAGAGGGAGGAAGGGAGAGAGAGGGAGAGAGAGAGAGAGAGAGAGAGCGAGAGAGAAGAGGAGAGAAACATCAATTTGTTGTTCCACTCCTTTATACAGTTGTTGGTTCATTCTTGTATGTGCCCTGACTGGGGATCGAACCCACAACCTTGGTATATCAGGATGACACACTAACCAACTGAGCTACTCCGCCAGGGCCTGAGCATCAGTGTTTGGATGCAAGCCTTTTTACTTTTTTCAAAAATAGTTACTATTACCACAAAATGTGTAAAAAGTTAAATATAGAAATATCTGGAACAGAGGTAAAATATTAATGATGAGGATATTGAGTATTTATGTCACTCAGTATTGGCAAGCACAGTATTAAGTGCTTCATTCCACCTCACATTAGTCCTATGTGGCAGGTATTATGAACAGCCTCACTTTTTGAACAAGGATACTAAGGCGCCCAAACGGTGAAATAATGTGCTGAAGATCACCCAGCCAGTGGCCAAGTTCTTCTGGACTCGAAACCTGAGCTCCTTAACTACTGTATTAAATTCCCCAAGAGACCTGAAGTTTCTGTCCCACTGATTCTACTCAGAACCCTGTGGGTTTAACCGTAAACTATTCTTAGAATCAAGAATAGCATCCTAAATTTAGAACTAAAAAGTAATTTGATCTACTGTTTCTCAGGTGACACTTGGCAATGTTGCAACAAGGGGCGAGGGGAGGAGATGCTACTGGCATCTGATGGGTGGAAGCCAGGGAATGCTGCTCCACATCCTACCAGGCCCAGGACAGCACTCTAGCAAGGAATAATCCAGCCCTGTATAGTTCAGGCTGCAATACCTGAACACCACAGACAGGGTGGCTTAAGCAACAGACAGTTATTTCTCCCAGTTCTAGAGGGTGGAAGTTTAAGATCAGGTGCCAGCATGGTTGGGTTCTTGGTAAGGGCCCTCTTTCCTGGTTTGCCCTCACATGGCTGCCTTTGTTGTATACAGGGAGAGGGAGGGGGAG